CATATTTATCTAAAATCAATTAATTAAAAAATATTTAAATAAAAATATTTTTTAAAATTTTAAATTTTATTAATGAAATTAGTTTTTGTTTAAGATATAATAATTTAATATATAATTTGTAAGATAATGAATCCATTAAATCTTAAAATAAGAGTTAAAAATTTATTCTTTATTATCATTATTTATTTTTAATAATTTATTAATTTAAAATATTAATTAATCTTAATCATCAAATCTTAAAATAAGTAATTATTAGAGATTTATTATGATATTTACTCTTAAAATAAGTAAATCCTGTTAAATTAATTTATAATGTATATATATTTTAATAAAATAATATTATTTTATTTAAAAAATTATTATTATTTTATAAGATAGATTGACCCATAAGTCTAAGAACTAGGCTAATATAAACATATATAGACAATGATTTAAATAAGTCAGAACTAAAATAAACCTAGTTCAATTTAAATTACAAGTTTTTTGACATAATCTACCTATTTTTCAAGTATTTTGGATCGATCATCCAATTAAATATATTTTGACACTCCTATCACCATATATATAAGTCATACTTAACAAATTTTATGGTAGGTGATCTTAAACTTTTGCTGACATTTATCTAGGCTAAGGACATTTGAGATAAATAATATAGTGTCAATTAAAAATATATCTTTTATAATAGATAATACTAAGACTATTAGACACTATATTAAATTTTAATTTAAAATTAATTGACGAAATTATCAACAAATATATAAATTATAATTAATATAGGTTACGAGACATTTGACACTATAAAAATTTATATTTGATTTTGAAGGGTTTATTTGAAAAATATAACTAGTAATTTAACGATATAAAGATCCATGTTAAATTTATGAATTAAGATATACAATAACTTATACATTTTTATATAATATATTTGTTTATACATGTTTCATTCGTTTATTCATATTATATTCTATATGCAAGATATATGTTTCTACATTGATTTGAGAGATATTTTATTATTAAACCTTTTTGTTCATGTGTGAGAGAGGGACAACCATAACTAGATTTTTTTATTTAAATTTTGTTTTAGTTGACATGGAATCGTGAGATATTCTTTTAGATTACGGGTTTATAATTTGTTAAAAAAAATAAAAAAAGTGTTGTGCTTGTATAATTGACTCTTATACGTGTGTGAGAGAGATTTTTCATTTTTATTTATTTTATTTCTATTTAGACCATATATCTTTCAATATTATTCTCACAAGTAAAAATATGTTATAAGTGAAAACAATTAATTCTCTTTATCTTTATTTTGTAATATGCTCTAATTAAATTTAATATTGAGATAAACATTATTTTTTTAATATTTATTATGAAATTTTATTATGATTTGATTATTAAGAATTTTTAAATATCATTTTATTTTCTAAAATATTTTATGTTAAAATGTTATTTTCTAATAAACGTGAGTTTTACTAAAATAAATAATATATGCTATTTTTTATATTTTATTATTCATTAAAAAATGTTTTAAAAATAGAAGTGTGTCACAACTATTTATCCAAATGTTCAAACAAAACATTCAATCAACAAGTCTTTTATCATCAACCCAGCTATAAAAACTGATAACATGTTAAAATTTCACAATAACAAAGAAAAAAAGAAGAAGGAAAGTTAGTACAAGAAGAATAAGAAAATAGAATATTGATTTACTAAATTTAAGTTAGTTAGGTTATTAATTTAAAAAATATTATTTAATAAAGTCAGTTGATTACAAACTACAATTATTTATAAAATTATAAAATAAAAATTATTAAAAATAAAATAAATAGTATTTCAACATTTTCTTTAAAAAAGAAAAAATCTATAAAACCTGTAAAAAAGATAATATTTTGTTAAAAAAATAAATAAAATTTATATAATATTACATACATACCTAAATTTCCAAAATAAAATAATGATTGATAGTTGAAATAATGTGAATGTGAATTCTATCTTTCACACACAATTATTCCTTTTTTAGATCTACATCTACGGTCCTTGGCTCCTCCTTTTTTTTTCAGTAATTTTAATGCATATAAATATATATTAATATTATTAAAATTTTAAATATATAAATAATATAGTTTTAAATAATATTTATTAACAAAATATTATATTTTTTTTACATATTTTATAATAAAAATAATTTTATATTAATTATGAGTAACTTTTTGAAAAGATGATAATCTCTAAATTTACAATTTTATTATCCTAAATTAATAATTATTAAATATATTTATTTTTATATTTACAATTTTTATTTCCTATATTTTTATATTCATTAATTATTTATTAATAATATATTATTTTGCATTATTAGTCAATACCATAGCTAGTTTTCACACTCCATGAATTCGCTTTCACAACCCACTTTCTTGTCATGTTTGTAATAGCTTTTCCATAAAAAAAATAATATTTTGAAGGAACTTATTTTATAAAATAAATCATTAATGTTTTATTTGGATGAGATACTAAATTTTTTAAGAAAAAAAGAGAAAAAAAGAGTGAAATATAAAATTGCATGGATAAAAAAAATAATAAAAAGAAGGATAAATTAAATTACTTTTACAGAATATTTTTATTTTATAAATAATTTTTTTAAAATTAACTAATGTTTTTATGTAAAAAAAAAACTGAAAAATAATGAAATTTGACTAGCAATTTTTTTTTAATTCCTAATTTTTATATTCAATTTAAAAGTTAATCTTAAAAATTAATTGGGTCAAAATCACTTCAAATATTAACATAAATGACTCATAATGTTTATAGGAAAAGTCAGAAGAAGTAGTGTGAATGAAACTCGTGAATAGAAACCAAATTCATATAAAAACAAAATCAAATAGAAGAAGAAATCAAGGACGCAAAATAAAATCAACTTTCTCATAAGTTGATTAATTTATGTAAGTACCAGTTAAAATTAAAAATTTAGAAGATGTTAATAAAATAAATTCTACGAATTATTTTATATAAAAAATAATTTAAACTTATAAATATTCATTTTTCTTATTTTTAACTTGTTTATTACAAAATTCTCCAAAAAATTATTCAGATGAAAATAATGAGAAAAATAATTGATTTTTGTAAAGTCGTGACAAATAAGTTATTGCAACATTTGTCATAGGCAACCAACCAAGTAGAGCCAAATTCTTGGTTGTTGGGACCATTCTTTTCAGCGACATTAAGTGGACACGACACGATTTGTTAGGTTTTTGTCTGCATCGTTGGCTTGACTGTACTGTTCTCTTCATATAATTTAATTTAAAAAAATATAAAAGTAGTATTTATTAGTTTTCAGGACAATAAAATGATGCAGTCTCGCTTTCAAACTATTGGATTAGCCGGTCTACTAATATTTTTTATATATATTTTTAATTATATAAACAATTTTTAAGTTTTTATTTATTTATTAATTAATATTTTTATTAAATAAATTAAAAATTAGTATATATTATATATAAAATATTTAATTATAATTAATAATTTAAATTTAATAAGTTAATATTTATAATTTTAATTTTAATATTATAATATACTTGTAATATAATATTTTTTTATTTTAATTTTAATATATAAATATTTTTTTAAGCGGGTAATATACACATCTATCTTTAATCTGTTTGATTAACAGACTCGATGACAAAGTAAAATAAATGAATAGATTAAAACTATCAATCACCGTATTATTCTTTAGGTGAAGTGACAAACTGGTCCACTACTGTTTAGAGGAAAATGTTTACCATTTATTTTTAACTTATTTATTAAATGTTAGATTATTTTTAGATATATTTTATGCATGAGTTGTTGTTTTTAATAATACTTTTATTATTTATATTTAATTTAGTTGTTTCTTAAATATAGAATAATAATACAGGTCAGGTTAAATCTACTAGCTTACATTTATTATCAAAAAATAAAAATAAAGTTATTAGAAAAAATTAAGTTTAAACTTCTTATTATGTAATTTTTTTTCAAAATAAAAAAAATATTTTATTATTATTTTACCAAATATATTTTTTAAGTAATTTTATAAATAAATAATATAATTTTTTTACTTTTTTTAATTTCTATATTTATTTATTATCATATTTGACCATTTTTATTGATTAGAGACTATCCAATCAAATAAACACAAATTGATCTATTTTATCATTTAAAAATATACATTATTATATTTATTTGTGGTGAATATAATTTAAATTTAATAAAATTTATGTGAATTTTTCTAGAACATTTTATAAAAAATTTGCATGAAACAAGGTTTTTCTTTTATATAGATTTTCATATAAATTGGCAGAAAAATTTTCTTTAAAAGCTAAAAAATAAAAATAAACAATCCTTATTTTATTATATACTTATTCAATAACTTCATTTATGAATATAATAATAATTATAATTTTTTTATAATTAAATCATATTATATTAACATAATGAGAAATATTTTTTTTAAATTCATTCTATATCTTAATATGATATTATTATTTATTATTATATTATGTTATATGGGTTGCCATTGATAGCACGTTTAAAATTAGAGAAAAGCTATTTTAGCAACTGCTCCACCCACCCAATACATAATTATAATAGGAAAATGACGTTTTCACAATGATATTCATATTTTGCAAAATCATTCCTTTAAAAACCAAATACATATTGTATACAAATATTATTTATTATTGTAGTATTATTATTTAAGATTGTTGATTGGAAAAGGATGTCAATAATGTGTCAATTCTCGTTATAATTAATAATTCCATTATGTCCATCCCCAAAACCAGTGGTTGTAAGACAATCTGGGACAAGAAGTCTTAGAATCAGATATTCATATCATTGCTTAGTTTAAATTTGGCTATCTCTTTTGAGATAATATATCTAAAAAAATGAAGCAAAAAACAAAAACCATGTCACTTAACAATGCAAGAGATCAGATTCTATAAATAAATATCCAAACTTACACAAACCTCTCAATGGATCCTGCTTCGTATGTCCAAGCTCTTATTGCAGGAATCCTAGCTTTGCTAAGTGCATACAATGTGTTTAGGTTCATTAGATCTCCTAATGGTTCTAAACAAAGAAAGGGCAAAGTACCCGAACCTTGTGGTGCTTTACCTTTCATAGGTCACCTCCATCTTCTCAATGCTAGAGTACCCTATTTCAGGACCTTTTCAGCCATGGCTGAGAAATATGGTCCAATTTTCTCTGTCAAACTGGGTTGTCACCCCACCATAGTGGTGAACAGCAGGGAAATTGCCAAGGAGTGCCTCACAACCAATGACAAAGTTTTTGCCTCAAGGCCAAACACTTCTGCAGGGAGACTCTTAGGTTACAACAATGCAATATTTGGCCTTTCCCCTTATGGAGATTATTGGCGTGAGATTAGGAAAATGGCCGTTCTTGAGATTTTCTCAAGCTACAGGCTTGAGAAATTAAAGCATGTGAGAGACACTGAAACATTGTCTCTTGTCAAGGACTTGTACTCGACAATATCATCTGCAAAGAACCTGAAGGGTTCAACTGAAGTGGCTATTAGCAATCTATTGGAGCACATGACATTCAACATAATTGTGAGGATGATAGCTGGGAAGAGATTTGGAGGGGACGCAGTTGATGCAGAAGACAATGACGCATGGAAGCTGAGGAAAGCCATAAAAGATGCCACATATTTGTTTGGTGTTTTTGTGGTGGCTGATGCAATTCCATCCCTTGGTTGGTTTGATTTCCAAGGGCACGTGAGTTTCATGAAAAGAACAGCAAAGCAAACTGATCTCATCCTTGAGAAGTGGCTGGAAGAACATGTAAGAAAGAGAGTGAGAGACGGAGACAGTGAAAGGGACTTCATGGATGTCATGATATCAAGTTTTGAAGGGCAAGATGAGATTTGTGGCTATAAGAGGGAGACTGTCATCAAAGCAACTGCAATGGTACGTATGCTTTCTTCGGCTTTTTTTTAACCAAAACAGGGTCAAAAAATTTTGAATTTACGGGGTGAAAAATTAAAATTTTTTATTAAAACAGGCTAAATGGTATTATGTGAACCAATTTTATTAAAAACACGATTTTACACGCCAAAATTGGAATTTTGATAAAATATTTAATTTTCTATACCTGTGTAAATTCAAAATTTTCTTGACCTGAATAATAAAAAAGTTGTTTTCTTCGTATGCTCAATGATTGATACTGCTTGTTGTGATGACAATCATTCAAGTACAGTCAATTACTTTATGATTTTTTATTATTTAATTAAAATATAAATAACAACGTAATCTATGATTTGTTCAAAGTTTTGTACCAAGTTTTACTCATATTTCTATATGTTTCTTAGAATAATAATAATAATAAAAAAAAGCTTTAAATCTCACCAAGTTTTGGTGCAGATGCTTATCCTTACTGGTTCAGGAAGCACAGCGATGACCCTAACATGGGCACTGTCGTTGCTCCTAAACCACACAAAGGTTCTAAAGGCAGCACAACAAGAATTGGACACCCAGGTGGGAAAAGAAAGATGGGTGCAAGAATGTGACATAAAAAACCTCACTTATCTCCATGCCATTATCAAAGAGACCCTTCGTTTGTACCCACCAGCACCCTTAACAGGAATTAGGGAGGTGATGGAAGATTGTTGTTTAGTAGGGTACCATGTCCCAAAGGGAACACGGTTGCTTATTAACTTATGGAACTTGCAAAGGGACCCACAAGTATGGGCCAACCCTAATGAGTTTCAGCCAGAGAGGTTCCTCACCACGCATGGAGACATTGATTTTATGAGCAAGGACTTTGAGTTAATTCCATTTAGCATTGGAAGAAGGTCGTGCCCTGGCATGGCCTTTGGGCTACAAGTGACGCACTTGACCTTGGCTAGGTTGCTTCAAGGGTTTGATATGAGCACAAAAGATGGTGTTGAGGTTGATATGACTGAAGGGTTAGGAGTGGCCTTGCCTAAGGAACATGCACTTCGAGTTATGCTCCATCCACGTCTTCCATTGGAGCTTTATGAAAACCTTTGAATAATCTGTGTGGAAACTATACTAGTATAGCCCTAAATAAGAACATCCTACCTACGCCTGTGTCTAGTACATTTTATGTAATTTAATGAAAAGAATTACTAGTATTTAAATAAATAAAATACTTGATAATATATTTTAAATAATATATAATTATATTCGTAATGGAAAATCTCACCTATAGTTCGTTTTTTTTCTCTCTTTAAATATTTTCTAAAATAATTTTTTTTTTCACTTGTATGCCACCATAGCCTCAACCGCAAGGGTGTCAATACCATTCAATAACACATGCACAAATTTTATCATCTTATAAAACATGTATAATTTCTTCTTACTTAAAGTGGCTAAGTTCATATAATATCGATAACATCACGATTAAAATTAAAACATCCCAAAATTTTACACAAAGCAAATCATTTCAACAAAATACAATTCAGTGGCAAATAAATTTTATCGAAAGCCAAACATCTCAAGACTCATCCCAAATCACGTATATTCAACAATAAATATTCAATTTCTAGAGATAAATTAACTAAAAAAAATATAAGTCCTATAATATAGATGATTAAGTACATTATTCACTAGATGACAAAACGGGTCAACTTGTCTCGTTTTGTCCCCAAAAATAGGATGAGATTGACTTGGTCCATTATAGTCATGATAAGTTATAGATTTTAGTCTATCCCGTCAAAGGACGAGTCAGTTAATTGTTTAGCCATAATTTTTTTAAAAATTAATTAATTTATTTTTAAAATCAAAATTTTTAATAAATTTAATAATAAAATTATTATTTATTTATTAATAATTTAACATATATATTTCAAGTTAATAATATAAATCAACACATTGTTCAACAACAAGAAAATTATTAATTACCGATGGATATTTACCAACGGATATGTAGCCGTCGAAAAATGAGTGATTACTCGATGAAATTACCGATGGATGTAAAGTAATTGTGGAATTTGAATAAATTACGACGGAATCGATAAATGAACAATAAAGTACCGATAGATATATCCATCGATAAATCCATTGATAAATGAACAAATAATTACAGACGAGATATATCCGATCGGTAAACTAATAATTTTGGTAAATGGACAATTAGTTACCAACTGATATTTATCGACTAATTTACCAGATGAATTTAAAGTATATTCGTAAAAATCAACATTAAATTAAAAAAATTAAATATTTAAAATTATATAATAATTACTTAATTTTAAATATATTCTAATAAACACGACACACTCGACACATACTTTCACCGTCGAGCAGCGTCTCACATCCAACATATAAATATATAATTATATAAATATATATATATATATATTGTATTTATATATTTTATATTTATATATTTTATATTTATATATTTACACGGATATACATTTATTTGTATATAATAATAATTTATTTATAAATTATTATTAGAAAATCCGTCGGAAAATCCAATTTTTCGTTCGAAATTATAATTTAGAATAATGATAAAATTTATATTTTTTATTTTGAAAATTTCAAATACATGTATCTTTTTTATTTGATAGAATTTCACATTGTTCTCTCATTAAATAATTATTACACCTTTAATTCAAGTCATAAGGATAAGAACAATCAATGTTTATGATGAACAATGAGGAGATGAAGACAAGAGGAGAACGAAGCTTGTGTTTGAGTAAAAAGAATATTTCCTACAATGAGTGAGGGTGAGACTTTTTTTAATTCTTTTTTTTACAAATTTTTACTTTATATATTGTCTTTATGACTAACTTTATTCTAATAAAAAATAATTTTTTTATTAATTGACCCACCCGATCCATGCAAGCTAGCCCACTGGATTTTTTGGGAGACCAGAGCAGGTCGATGAGCTAAAAACACCAATTCATCTCGTCATATGTTAGACAAATGACATTTAGAGGGGGTGAATAAATGCAAAAATTAAATAAATGTCAAATTAAAAATTTATTTTAAGATGTCTAATATTTATTAATTCAATTTTAATTATCAAATTGAACAAAGATAAAGCGGAAATTATATAATCAGAGAGATAAAATATCAACAAGATAGAGATAGAAATAAGGGGCGTAAGGAGAGTAATGCGATGAAAAAGAGATAAGGGAAAGAGAAAAACACACAATGATTTATACTGGTTCGGATATAGTCAACCCTACATCTAGTTCCCAGTCAACTCTTAACATAAGAGTGACCCCAATTCACTATCTTTTAAATTTAGTTCACAAATTACAATCAACTCAGCAAAAAAGTAAACTAAATTAAAAGACAATTATCTCCTTAGAAACCCATTAAGGATGAACACCTCCCTAGAATCCCAATAGGGATGAACACCTCATCTGAACAAATCAAATGATGAACACACCTCATTAGAATCCCACTAAGGATGAACACCTCCCTAGAATCCCACTAAGGATGAACACCTCCTCTGAACAAATCAAAGGATGAAAACACCTCCCTGAACAAATCAAAGGGATGAACAATTTCCACATAGGAAACCCTAAAAAAAACATAACAGAATGACAGTGACTACTTAAATCCTAAATAGGGAATTTAACAATCAACCACTTAAGCCCACAAAGGATGAAGGTACAAAATAAGAACAGTCACACTTGGATAATGGAGACAACAAATTGTAGAAGTCTCTAGAATGTCAACCTCCAAGAACAAGTGTGATTAATAATGAAAACACAGTAGGCAACGAAGAAGAGGATTTTGGTAAAATATCTCTGTGACAATGGAGAAGAGGATTTTGGTAAATTAACTCTTGGGAATGTAGGGACATGTTTCACATTGTCATCAATCTCCCTCTCATTGCTTTCAATCTTCCCCTTTTTTATGATGATCAAGGAAACACCTGAGATGAATTAAAATGCTTAACTCTATATAGCCAACTCAAGATTAGTACAATATAGTGTAGCACAAATTAGCATAGTATATTTAAACTCCCTCTATATATGTTAATAATAAAGCTCCCCCTAACTCATCTGAGAAAAACTTCTCTTAACTCCCCCTATTTAAATCAGAATTAGGAAAGAATTTCATACAGATTTTAATTTATAAAAATCCCCCTCTGTTTCATTGATAATCATAAAAAAAACTATTTCAAGAGAAAAAAAATATCTCCCTGTTTCACATAGATTAATATCATCAAAATCTCTCCCTGTTTTATTGATAATTATGAAAAATATTGCAATAGAAATTGAGCACAAATTTGCACATATTAGCATATAAAACAAGGCAAAGAGGATAATAAATCAAAAAATGTCATAGAGAAGAACATCATATTAAGGAGGAAATATCTAGGATACCTAAGGCAAATGAAGAGAGAGAAAGATAGAGGAATGAAATAATTGTAGAGATAATGGAATGGAATGCAGTAGTTTCCCCCAATTGCAGTCTTCTTATTGAGACAGCTTTCAAAATCAAATTTCTATTCCAATTCAAATTCAAAAATCTCAAACTGCACAAATTTCAAATTTCAAAATCTCAAAATGCATAAATTTCAAATTTCAAAATCTCAAACTGCAAAATTTCAAATTTCATAAATCTCAAACTTTCAAATTTCAAACTTAAATAATTTCAAATTTTCACAAATTTAGATTTTCAAAATTCTCAAATTTCACATTTTTAAAATTAATACTTTCAAATTTCAAAATTTTTAAATTTCAAAATTGGTCAACAATCGAATTTATGTGACGAGATAAGTGCGGATATTCAATGCAGAGGCGTGTGAGACAATAATAAACTTATCTTTGTAATATTTCTCTGTTCATCTACCTTGTTCCTGTACACCCATTTAGCTTCAATAATCTGTATTGATTTTTTATCCTTGATAATTACCTGCAACATCAACATACAAATCTAGGTACCCTTTAATTATTTTTGGGTCCTTAAGAAGGTTAGTAGAATCACAAGTCTCAGCCAAAAGACTAAGGATAAAAGAATAGAACCATGATATAATAATCGATTATCACAACATCTTCAGAATCAATATAATTGATTATGACAGCAAGAAATTTGTTTTTCGAAAGTTCATAATCTATTAGATGTTCAAACTATCATCTAGACATGTATAAATACTTTGTTCATTTAGGCACCCATTCATATTTGTCATTATATATGCCAAAATATTTTATGTAACATCTATTTGATGTATGACCTAATTTAATGCAATAAAAACATGTTGGTTTTCTTTGAAGATGTCTAAATGAATTTCTTAAAGTTCTTAAAACTGGCTTCACATTTGTTTTCCTTGACTCTTTAACAAAAATAGTTTTATGAGGTTCTAGACTTTCTTTGAGTTTGTAACCAAGTCCAGCTTTGCTAGAATTCCCTCTTTGATAACCTAATATAGAATCAAGATTTTCAGAAGATTTTGAAAACTTGCTTATTATTTTCTCTAACTTGAAAATCTCATTTTTCAAATTATTACAATTTTCACAAGGTTTAGCAACTTCTTTATTTTTAGACAAAGTTTTACATTTCTCAACATCTTTCTATAAGCACTCATTTTATTTTTCAAGAATACCAACAATATTTTCTAATGCATTAAACTTTTGTCTAAGTGTATTGTATTTCTTAGATAACTTGGTAAAACCTTCATACATATCTTGATATTATTTAAACAACTCATCATATTCATTTAAGGATTTTGTACTGCTTACTTGTGATAAGGTTTCTTGTGATGAGGCTTCATCATCACTTTTTGCCATAAAGCAAATATTTGTTTCTTCTTCTCGATCACTACTTTCAAAAAAACTCCCTTGTGTTGTGGAAGAATCATTATCCTCCCAATAAATATAAGTTTTGTGTTTGTTCTTATAGATACCATTCTTCTCTTTCTTTTTCCCTTTCATATTTTTCTTCTCTTTCTTAAGTTTCGGAGATTTTGGTTTGATATGACCAAGTTTTCCACATCCATAGCACTCGTACCTATTGGTTTTCTCTTTTCTTTATTGTCTCTTTTTTCTGTTCTTCATAAAATG